ACAAAAGATACAACATATTACTGGTATCCCTGAAGAAAATTAAAACCATACAACACAGGTAGTAGGTAAAGCCATTATCTAAGACATTTTTAGAAGTCAATGACCAAATTTAAATATTTCATTGGCCCATTATGTACCAGAGAAAACTTAACCTGTAACAACTTGAACCATCTAGTAAAACTGCTAAACTTAAGATGAAAAAAATTGGACAAAAATCACATCATCCTCCCAATTGATGCAGAAAAAACCTTAGACAAAATTCAATATCCTTTCATGAAAAAGCTCTGATGAAGCAAGGAATAGAAAGAATGTACCTCAACATAATAAAGACTATATAGGACAAACCTATAGCCAACATCATACTACATGAGGAAAAACAAACCACTTCCTCTAAAATCAGGAACAAAAGATTGTCCATTGTCCCCACTCTTACTGAATATAATACTGGAATTCCTACCCAGAGCAATAGAATAGGAAGAAATAAAAGGAATTCAAATAGGAAAGGAAGTCAAATTACCCCTATTTGCAGATGACAATCTTACACCTGCAAGACTCTTAACTCCTAAGAAAAACTTAGATCTCAAACACATTCAGCAAAGTAACAGGATACAAAAAGAAACAGCACATAAAAACTAGTATTTCTGTAAACCAACAATGAACAGTCTAAGAAATCAGGAAAATACCATTCACAATAGCATCAAAAAAATAAGATACCTAGAAATAAATTTAAGGAAGTGAAAGACCTATACAATTAGAATTATAAATCACTGAAGAAAGACTTCAGAAGTCATTAGAGGGGCTGGCAGAGTGTCTCAAGTGGTAGAGCACCTCCCTAGCAACCATAAAGCCCTGAGTTCAAACTCCAGCACCAAAATTCAATAAAAGATGGGAGAGCATACCATGCTCACAGATCAGCAGAATCAGTATTTTGAAAATGACTATACTACCAAAAGCAATTTATCTGTTCAATACAATCCTCATTAAAATTCCAATGACATCCTTCAGAGATTTTTAAAAAAGGAATCAATCCTAGGAGTCTTTGTTCTCATTGTCTGCATAGGGACAAGGAAATGTTTCTTTTTCTCTCTGCCCTCTAAACTTTATTGTTATACTAAAATAAATTCTTGCTAAAACTTAAAAAAATCCTAAAGTTCATTTGGAAGCACAAAATACCTTGAATAGCCAAAGCAATCCTTAGCATAAAAAGCAACACTGGAGGTATCACACCAACTTCAAACTATACTGCAGAGCCACAGTGATAACACCATGGTACTGGCACAAAAACAGACATGAAGACCAATGTAACATGATAGAAGACCCAGACACAAACCCACACAGGTATGGCTATTTGATTTTCAATGAAGGAGCCCAAAACATGTTGGAGAAAAGAGCCTCTTCAACAAATGGTGCTGGGAAAACTGGACATCTACCTGTAGATCAAAACTTATTCCAGAGTCTCACTCCACACTAGTATCAATTCAAAGTGGATCAGATATCTGAAGATCTGAAACTAAAACTACTATAGGAAAGAATATATACTGGAACATGTAGGCATAAGTAATAACTTTATGAATGGAACTCCAATAGCTCAGCAAGTAAGAAAGAACTACAAATGGGAGTGCATCAGACTAAAAAACTTCTGCACAGAAAACAGTCACTAGACTGAAGAGACAGCATACAGCATGAGAAAAATCTTTGCCAAATCTCTCTGACAAGGGATTAACTACAAGAATATACAGGGAGCTTAAAAAATTAATTCCAAAAAGAATCAAGCCACTGTATAAATGGGCAAATGAACTGAACAGACAATTCCCAAAAGTACAAATGGCCAATAAATACATGAAGAAATGCTCGATATCCTTGGCCATAAAGAACATGTCAAATCAAAACGACACTGAGATTTCACCTAACTCCATTCAGAATGGCTATCATCAATATCAGAACAACTAATGCTGGCATGGGTGCAGGGAAAAGGAACCCTTACCCACTGTTGGTAGGAATGGGAAGTAGTGAAACCATTATGGGAAGTATGGAGGTTCCTTAAGAAACTAAAATTAGATCAACCACATGATATAGCAATGCCAGACCTGGGCATATACACAAAGGAATATAACCCATTATATGATAGAGCCACTTGCACATTCATGTTTACTGAAGCACTGCTCATAATAGTCAAAGTTTGAAAATAGCCAAAATTCCCTACAACAGGTTAAAATATAGTATATATACACAATGGAGTCATAAAGAGTGAAGTTATGTTGTTTGCAGGAAAATCATGGAATTGGAGATCATCGTATTACATAAGTAAGCCAGGCTTAGAGGGACAAAGGTCACATGTTTTTCCTCATGTGGACACTAGAGCTAAAACAAATGTATACATAAGTTTTATAGAGAGAGAAGAGAGAGAGACATGCAGACACAAATAATGGGTCTTTTCAAGGGGACTACAGGAAGGCAAGAGAGGAAAAGAATGATAGTGATAGTAAGATGAAATACACTGCATCTGTATGAAGACAGTATAAGAAAATGCATTTAAGCTATTGAATAGGGGAGCAGGGAGATAGAGAAAAATAGAGGGGGTTAATTCACTTAAAAAATGAAGTACAAGAAGTTAAAACAGGTCCTGTCCAGGAGTGGGTACCAGTGGGAAGAGGGGAAGTTAAAGGGTGAAGGAGGGTGATTATGGTCAGTGTACTTTGCATACATGTATGAAAACAGAACAACGAAACCTGCTCAATTGGTCTAGGAAAGGGGAGGGGGGAGGAATGAGAATGATGAAGTGGATGAATCTAAGATACATTGTAAGCATATATGTAAATGTCACAATGAATCCACACATACATACACACATACAATACATAACACATATATATGAAAGGCAAAAATTGGATTGGCATAACTTTCAAAAAGAATGACTAAATAAAAGTAAAGCAACAGTATAGCAGCATTCTCAGCACCAGAGGAGAGAGAATGTTAACAGAATACTTCATTCAGCCAAGCAACCTATCAAGTTTCAGGGCCACAGAAAAACACCTTGGAATGTACCAGAACTCAGGAAACTTGATACATGTGTCATCCCTGGGGAATGCATGGGGATGAGCTGCCTCCAAGGAAGACATGATGAGGAACACTTCACTAAGGATGTGAACAGGTCATATATTCAGCTGGACAGCTGAGAATAATCTGTTGAGTGGAGCCATGGGCTAAAGAACAGTGTGTTGACATTGCATGCTCTAAGAAGGCAGTAAAAAATTTAAGAATGGGAAACACAGTAAGTTCATAAACTATTGTATTGGTAAGAAATGGAATCAAAGGATGCCATCTGACATAGAACCAACAGCCAGAAGAGGGAGACTAAGAAAACTATATACAGCTATAAAAAGGTGCCAAATTAAAACAACAAATTAAAAACACGAAGTGTGTAATTTTAAAGCAAGGAGGGCACACTAAGACCTCTAAATACAATACACAAAAGTTCAACATGAAATACAATTAAAATCCAGTATGACCATACAGAAAATGAATAGATTTGCATAATTAAAGAAAATACTTTCAAGTTTGCCTATAAAGCAAGATGTAATTTTATGCCTCACTAAAAACATTTTAAATGTAGTGATTTGGACAGATAAACAAAGGACTGGTGGAGTGGCTCAGGTGGTAGAGCACCTGCCTAGCAAGCAAAAGCTCTGAGTTCAAACCCAAGTACCAAAGAAAACTAAATATAGAATAAACATATTTACCAAGTGGAAAACTCCAGAAAGCAATCATGAGCTATTTGAAGTAAAAAGCATGAAAGATGATAAAACAATGCACTTTGTAATGTTAAAAACCACGAGTTGTGAGTATAAAATTGGGACTTTTGAGGGAACCAGTGGGAAGAGGGAGGGCAAAAGGACATGGTGATGGGGAATGTGATTAAGGTGCTTTATATGCATGTATGAAAATAATGACACAGGAGAGGGAGGGTAAAAAGAGGTGATTATGGCTGATGTACTTTCTATACAAGAACGAATGAATTTTTAAACTGTTGATCTCACCATAAGAAAGGTGACTAAGGTAGAAAGAAGAATGGAAGTGATGAACCAATTCAGTTTATAATACATATATACATGGATATGTCACAATGAAACTCCCTGAATAGCTATCTTAAACAAAAATATCTTTCCAAGAATGGAGAACATGAAGGTAAAACAGGTCCTGTCGGGGGTAGTACCAGTGCAAGGGGGAAGATATGAGGAAAGGTTGTAGAGGACATATTATGCACTCGTGTATGGAAATGGAAAAATGAGTCTTGTTACAACTATTCCAAGAACGGGGGAGGGGGAGAGAAAGAATGATAGAGAGGGTGAATTCAACTATGATATGTTGTGTTCAACTATGATGTATTATAAGGACTTTTGTAAATGTCACAATGTACCCCCAGTACAATGTAAGAAAAAGCTGAAATAGAATGAAACCCATTTAAAAAAATTTTTAAATGAGAAGGAAAAAGCAGTAAAGGAGATTAATTTGATCAAAGTATATTATATGCATGTATGGAAATAGTGCAATGAATCTCCTTTGTACAATTAAATCACTAGCAACTTTTTAAGCCACATGCCATGATGAAGATACAACTATGAATATCTATACATGAAATGACAAATCGCAATAGAAGCAGAAATAGAAGCCCACTACCATAATAGAATTCATCTCAGTAGATCTGGTTATCAGACATGAACTCCCAGGTCATCTCCTGTCAAAAAGAAAATAGACTCAGCCTGGGGCAGAAAACTGAGGAGACACCCCTAGAGGAGCAGCGTATATTGGACACTATCCATCCCCAGTTTGATGATCATGAGCATTGGTGTGCAACTCTCCTACTCCCCTACTCCCTCCAAGGCTCACATTGACCCACACCCCTCCTCTGCTGCTGGAGGCGTGGTCAATCACTCCACTGTGACATCACCTTTGTGCCAGAAAGCTTCCTCATGGACTCTGTCCCTCCACCCTGCACTTACCTCCCATCTCGTCCTGAGCTTTTTGCCAGAGATCTCTCCGACTGATCTGGAGAAACAGGCTCATGACTACATCCCACACCTGCTTTCCTGAGAAATGCTTGTACAACAGCTTTGCTAGACCTTCTTTTGAAGCCCTCTTGATGTCAGTCCAAGGCATTGGTTTCAGTTGAAATTTCTGTGGTTCTTGCCTGAGGAGTTCCTTAAATTTCCAAAACTCTTCTTTTTTGAGCTCTTCCAGGTACCACACCAAACCAAACTCAGAAAAACGTGGTTCAGCCATCTTGTCCCAGGATAGTGAGCTCAGAGTTCTCTGAAGGAAAAAGAACCGTCTATGTAAGGAATTAGTGACATTTGCAGAAGAATGGTGTGATTACAGAGATACCTTTGAACAGCAAAATGTGACTGAGAATTACTGGTATCATGCATACTACATCAATCCCAGACTTTCACTTCCTGCTATCCAGGAAATGAAACATGTGCTCATAGGTTTGCACAAATAGTCACTGCAGAGTTTTTTAAATGCTTTAAAGGGGAAAAATTTAAGTGTGCATAAAAGAGCAGTTAAGCAATTATACAAATATAAAGTAAAATAAATTGTATGGATTTACGGACCTATTACATGGCAGAGAGAGTCAATATTGAACGAGGGCCCAGGGAGTTCTACCTATTTGGAGATTGAGCACACCACCTGTCAGACCAAGCAGAAGCCCTGAATGTTTTGGTAGACCAGACCCTTCGTGGACATCACAACTTTCATCAGAAGGATTAAGATCATGCACACTCTCACAAACACATTCCCTTCCCACCAGAACCATGACAATTTGACTAACTAGGGTCAATCTCAGTGCCTGGTGACTAGGTTATATTTTGTCCAGGTCTGTAAGTTAGCCCCAAAGCCACTCCTCCACATGCATACTCTGGATCACAAGGGGCATCTGAAACCCCAGTTTTGATTGCATAGAGGCACTTATCCCAACACCTGAGGTCTTTCCATTGCATCCTCTTGAACACAAAACCCACCATCAAAAGTAAAACCTCATAAACCATGAAATGATTTAGCTGTACACCAATATTCATAGCACCATTATTCACAATAGCCAAGAACTGGAAGCTACCCAAATGTAAATCAGTGCAAGAATGGATAAATGAGTGTGGTCTATCCACTGAGCCATGCCAAGAAAGGAAATTCTGACACATGCTTCAATGCGGATAAACCTTGAAATATTTTGCTAAGTAGACAGATATGAAGAAAAAATACTTATGGTTCTACTACTTTGATCTACCTAGGTCAAATTCACAGACACAAAAGATAGAGGGGCTGGAGGAGAGGGGTGGGGTTATTTAATGGAAACGTTTTCAGTTGGGGATGCGGAACAAGCTGTGGAGATGGGCAGTGGAGATGGTTGCTGAGTTAAGCAACTGTATTAAAACCACTGAATTGGACTCTCAAATGGATAAAATGCTAAGTTTCATGCCATGTTTACCAGTTTTTAAAAACCTCATCTGTGGGAAATCTATTCTCTAAGTGTCCCTATCTCCTTCCTGATGGACCTGAAACCTTCCATGAAAAGGAACTGAATCTCCTGCAGCTGTCTTAGATGCTGATGACAAACAGCTGCATCCTGTGGCAGAGTGGGTTCCTCACTGACACTGCCCAATGCCTCATAGACTAATGGCTCACCCCATTATCATTCCTTACCTCACATGTGGACATCTATCTGAGGTCCTGCCTCTATCACCCCACTCTTTTTTGCAGTACTAGAATTTGAACCCAGGACCTACCCCTCAAGCCACCCTGATACCCCTATTTTGTGTGATGGGTTTCTTCAAAATAGGGTCTCATCTCATGAACTGTTTACCCAAGGTGGCTTCGAACTGTGATCCTTTTAATCTCTGCCTCCTGAGTAGCTAGGATTATAGGTGTGAGCCACCAGCACCTGGCTCTAACAGAACTCTTGTGGTCACCCAAAACACGTGGTGGTGGTAAAGCAGCTCTCATAAGATTTAGCATAAGACTGGAATTTCCTAGAACTTCTGGATACTAAAGTATTACTTCAAAGCACACCAGCCATCACCACAGTTCAGATCTCCAACTTAACTAGCCTTCTCCCTTTAACGTCCCATTGGCTCAGATTTGCTTCTCATCATTCTCCCCTGGTTGCCTACATCTCAGTCAGAACCAACTGACCCACCAAGTGTAAAGATGGACCTCTGAGTTTTATTTTACCTTAATTCTCTAGTACTTTCTCTATGCCTTAAAAATGTACTTAGAAAACAAACAAGAATTCCCCAATTCATTATGGAAGAGTCCCTTTCTCCACCAGTTTTAGAGATGGGAAACACAGAGGATTAAAGAGGGCAGTGCTGGCTGCACAGGCTCTGCAAATTTCCAAAGTTTTCACTACAGATCCTGCTTGCCAGAACAGAGGACAGGACTGAGTTATTGTGGGAGCCCCTCTTCCTGGTTCTTTATTCACCTAAGGTCTTTAGAAAGCAAGAGAAGGCAAAGGGAAGAGGAGAGGAAAGACAAAGGAAAAAAAAAACCTAAGTCACACAGGAAGAAGTCTTCCTTACCTAGTCTGAGATGGATCCTCAGAGCTGGTACTTATCAAAGGACAGCTGAGGAGGCTAAGAATAAAAGGCAATGCCCCCTCTTTGATTGGTTGTAGAATCCCTCCCTTCCCATTGGCTGTTGTGGCTCTGATCACCACACTCTGGGTAAGGTGAAACTGTGTAGGGGTTTTTTGTTTTTTTTTTTTTTTGCTCCCCAAGTGTGAGTGAGCTCTGCTGGGGTGCTGACTGCTGGATGTGCCTCATGATGCTACTAATATAATGCCTCTCAAAATGCAACACAATCGCAGGGCTTCTGTGAGCAACCTTCTGCTATCAGTGAGTTCTAACTAGGAGACTGGTACTGGGAACCTCTGTGCTCATCATCTGAGGTTCTGACTTGCCCTATTCTGTGCACTTCCCAAGGGAAGCTATTTTATACATCTCAATTTTCACAGCAGTACTTAAAAAGGAGAATTCCTATGTGAGGAAACTAATGAATGTTCTTGAAACTCTTGCTATGGAAATAAAGAGTAGACACCACAGGTGTCTGTTAACAGCCTTTATTGCTCATTGTTGAACCCTGTGTGAACTCTGCCCCACGTCCACTCTAATCAGCATTCTCCACCGCCACTGTCATCGCTTTCTCTCCCACCAACATCAAGTGAATGCTGCTGCGTAAGACCTACCACTAAGGGCATTTAGTAGAATATCTGGTTGGCCTCTCTTTGAGCCCTCTGAAGTAGGTGGTATTACTACTACTATTTTTAAAGATAATCCAGGCCATCAGGGAAAGGCTAAAGTTGAGGATGTTCCTGCAAAGGTCAACCCAACATTTAACTCCCTTGTGCTGCCTCCCAGGAAGCCTCGATCCTGGGAGTGATGAGAAAGTTCTGTGTTGGATCAGTGGGCAGGTGTGGCTCGCTTAGCCTAATGAGACTGAGCCTAGAGATTCAGTAAGTCCTTTGACTTCACCACGAACCCTACACCATTACTCAAAACTGTGACCTGACCTCCTCACCTTAACCTTGTCTAAATGATCCTTCACGGACCACAGCTCACACATTACAACTGTGTCTTGGTTACCTTTAAAAAAAGTTTTTTGATGGGTGCCACAGGATCCAGTACAGAAGGCTGGAGGTGGTTAAGCACCTGGGCTCTATTCCAGACCATTGCTGTGGCCATGGGGAAGTAGCTTAATTTCACTGTGTCCTCCTCTGAGAAACAGAAATGATAAAGATTATGATAACATTGATGGAAATGGAGATGTAGGAGGAGATGGAGAAGAGGAGGACAATGATGGTAATGGTGGGAGGATTTTTGGCATTTACTTTTTCTTTTGTGAATTGTCCTTTAAAGGTTCAACTTGACTTTACATATATTTTGTATGTATAGTGTGTGTATATTTTGTGTGAATAAGCATATGTACACACAAAATATATTTATATATATGTTATATGAGATCACAAAATTTTCCAATAATTTGTCTCTTTTTCTATTTGTTGTTTATGGTCTTTTCAGGGTAGTGTTGTTTTAAAATGTAATGTAATGTATTTCATTAATTTTATCAGTTGTGCATGGTATAAATTCTTCCAGTCCTGAAGTTGAACTTTTCCTGTTTCCTTCCACAAACTAATATTTTGTTCCCATTTTGGTTTTCTATGCACCTATACATCCTAAAACTTCATAGTTGATGTAGTGGTTCAGTTTTATTGATTATTATATTCATTCCAATTACATTAACATATATATCACCCAGCCTACCTTCCTTTATCAATTTTCTAGTACCACTCACCCAATATGAAATATAAGTTTGCTACATTTGTTTCTTCTGTGTCTCTCTTTGTACTACATTGTTCTATTTTCTTCACTGCTATAATCTTATTTACAAATTATGAATTTTTTTCATTGATATACAGTTATGCTCATATATCTCAATATGTATTTTTATACCTTTTATCTCATGTACACTATTTTAATGATTTTAAATAAAGTTATTATATAGCCCGTTTTAAAGTTTTGTCACAGTTCATTTTCTGGGAATAGGCATTCTAATGACATATCACTGTCCTCTGCTCACGTTTTAAAGTTTTGTCACAGTTCATTTTCTGGGAATAGGCATTCTCATGACATATCACTGTCCTCTGCTCACAGAAGAGTTTTCAAGTATGTTTTGGCAAATAAAGAGAAAAAGACTTTTCACATTACCATATGTATTTCCTTGCAAAATAAATAGCCAAAGTTGTCCGATTTGTCTCAGAAGTGTCCCCAGAAGAGTCTTTGCCCAGAATAAGTGCTAATGTCAATGTCTTGGCTTATTATTTTCTTTGTTAGTATTTTTCCAGGTACTGAGTTTGGTTGTCAATTTCTAACTTTTTCAGATATCAAAAAAAAATGCTCTCTTCTGCATAGACGCCACTTGCCTACTTTCTTTTTTGGTACAGAGGGAAGGACTGTGGTGCCCATTATCACTCTAATTTCAACACCCCAGGGTTGTCTATGGATGACAGAGTTGTAATACAGCATCTCACCTTGTCAGAGTCAAATAAATGCTCACATCCTTTCCCTGTATGGGTGTTAGGTACCCAAGACTCAAAGGAATCCAGCTTCTTTTTAACTCTGACCTCAGGGCCTACTGAAAGCACATGGTAACTTTGAATTGAAGAGTTAATGCCCTGCACTCGATTTAATTCTCTGTGTAAGTGTCCCGCAGATTTCTTAATTTTTAGT